TATTGCCTTATGATGTTATTAAATAAATTAAATGAGAACCTTCGAAATAAAGTGGAAATAGAGGTTGCCATTAGTTATCCCTTTCTAAGTCTAGGTTCCCAGTAGAACCCAGTGTGAGAGCTATTTTACAGGCATAATTGGTCAGCTTTATCTGCCACCTTCTCTGTTACAGCCAAGGGAGCACATTATACAGTGCATCAAACCCTACCCAAATTTTTAGAGATGATGTGAGGCCTTTTGTTCCCACAGCATCCTCCCCTGCCCACACACCAACATTTCATACTGCCCAGAGTTCCAGCTTCAAGTCTATCATTGCCTGGAACCACTTCAGAAATTTTAAACTCTTAACTTCTGCTCTCATTTGAATTTTTCACACTCTAGTTCTCTCAATCCCTCACTTCTACGACACTTCTTGCTGACCTCATGGAAACCTGAAATCTCTTGCTGCTTCTGTTTTTTCCTAGACTGTCAGTCTCCCACCTGGTCCCCCAAAAAGTTAAAATAATTATCATTGATAGAGCTCTTTTTGATTGCCCTTAACTTCCTCTTTGACTCCCCTCAAACTATGCTAGTATGTGCCATTCTCCCCACGTGCTCTATGTATACAAAATTCTTGACCCTTCCTGCTCAACAGATTACCTTGCTCCTTACTTCATCAAGAAATGTTGAGACTTTCAGACATGCCCTTTCTCCACTTCCTCTCTTCCAATCATCAAGCTCACCTACAACCATCCTTACCATCTTCCCTTCAGTCTCAGTGAAAGAGGTGTCCTATTTCTGTTCAAGGCCAGCTTTTCTTATTCTATCAATTTCATCTTATTTGTCACCTCTTAGAATTTACTCAGTTAATTTTATAGCATTTTATCTGTCTTCAGTCTGGCCCTCTTTGCTAGTGTCTTCTTATCAGCTTGACTTCCTCGATTTCATCCTGGTCCCTCGATTTCTATCGCTAAGGTTACCGGTATACTACTATTTCCAAAATCGAGTGGACATCTTCAGTCTCTTATTTCACTAGACATCTCTGCTGTAAATGATACTTCCTTATTCTTAATACAACACTATTCACTGGACTTTAGTAATCCCTTACTCTCCTGGACTCTATTTCTTCTTGCCTTTTGAGTTTGCTCTTCCTGTTTTTAGCTCTCAAATGTTAGTGTTCCCCAGGGTTCCTCCCTCAGTCAGCTGCACCTCTGATTCCTTCCCATTCCCCCACAGGGAACTCATCCACATGTGTTTCTACTCCCACAAAATACCTAAGTTGTATCCTCAGCTCAGACCTATTCCCTAAGCTTCAGATTTTAATAGTTAACCAATTCCTGCACATGTCCACCAGTGTCTCATAGGAACCTAAAGCTAATCATGGTCAAAACTGAATTCAGTTTCTCCCATATATTTGTTTCTATCTCGATATTCTGAATCTCCATTGGTGGCACCACAGGTGCTAGGAAACTGGGGGACACACATGACCCTCACTCTCATCCCTGTATCAAATCACCAAGTCCTACTGTTTTCATCTTCTAAACATTTCCTGTATCCAACTTCTTCTCTTTATTCCTCATTATCTCTTTCATTACTAGCCCCATTAAGTTTTCCAGTTTTTTTTTTCCTTTCTTTTTTCCTCCAGGATAGATATACATAAAACACCAATCTGCCACAATCACTTCCTATTAAAAATAGTATAGTGTAATGTATGGTGATTAACATAATAATAAAAAATAGTTTAGTGATGTTCCTTTACCCTTATAATAAAGTTCTAGCTCCCTAACAAAATGTGAGGACTTCATAGACCCCACCCTCTTTTGTTAGCCTCATCTTCTGCTATTCACTCTATTTCAAACAATACTCAGTAAAGCAAACTGCCTGTTGCCACTCATATATCATGCTATTTCTCACCTCTACTCTGGCTAAAATGTGCTTCTTGTCCTCTCCTCTCTACTGACCAGCTCCTTCTCATGAATACGTATGTGGCTCCATGAATTCTTATGTGGCTTCCTCATTACTAGGGCATGTAGGTCCCCCTTTCTTTATATTCCCAAAATACCATGTATTTACTTTTTCTATGTTTGCCCCAGAAATAGAACATGAGTTTCTTGAGGGCAGAGACCACACCATGCATTATGACTCTAGTGTTATGCCTGGAACTGAGGAGATGTTTAATAAATACTTACTGAATAAAGGGATAGCTAAATTATTAAAGTACTTTGTATCCATTCTTGTCATTCTTTTTTTATATGATGTCACTGTGTGGCATGGACAGTAATGTTCACCAAATATTCCATGAATTTGTCTTATATTTCCCAGCCTTTCTTGAACTTAGGTTGAGGCCTTGTAAACAGTTCTAGACATGGAGCTATAAGCACAAGTGATAGGGTCACTTCCCGTCTGAGATCTTTAAGAACAGTGGCTGGTTTTCTATACTCTCTTCTCTGCTTTGGCAGTTCTGGAAGTCTTGAGATGGTGGCAACACAAGACTCTGGGGGCAAAAGCCCATGACACTGGACAAGTAGTGGGAGTGGGAAGTAAGCCTGTTTGGTGTTAAGCCACTGAGATTTCAGAATTAATTTGTTACCACAGCACAATCGAGTTTATCTTAAATAATGCTCATTGTTCCACATTTATAAATTAATATCCATCTTATTACATACATAAGGTCGTATTGAAGTTACCAGTATGCAATTCATTTTCCTAAAGTCTGCATGATTCATAGGCTTAGGAAAATCTCTGCCATATGACTGATATTTTCCAACTGGCCTGACTGTTCCTAGCCAGCCCTCTGCCTCAAAGTCTCTGCATATCAGAGTGTGCTTTGTACATTTGATTTGTTTTCCATTCTTACCCAGCTTAACGTACAGGTAAAGTAGTTCATCTAAGTAAAAGTGAGACTATTTTCCTACACAAAAAAAATCCCCCACACTTATTCACACATGCCTCTGCGTCTACAGCTGAATGCCATGCTCTAACTTTAGATTTTGATCCTTGGGTTTTTTTCTGTGTTTATTGAGAGATTTTTTTTAACTTTTTTTAATTTAAATTCAATGAATTAACATATGATGTATTATTTGTTTCAGGGGTACAGGTCTGTGATTCATCAGTCTTATATAATACCCAGTGCTCATTACAACACATATCTTCCCTAATGCCCATCACCCAGTTACCCCATTCCTCCACCCCCCTCCCCTCCAACAACCCTCAGTTTGTTTCCTATGATTAAGAGTCCCTTATGGTTTGTCTCCCTCTCTGGTTTCTTCTTGTTTCATTTTTTCCTCTCTTCCCCTATGATCCTCTGCCCTGTTTCTTAAATTCCACATATCAGTGAGATCATATGATAATTGTTTTTCTCTGATTGACTTATTTCACTTGGCATAACACCCTCTAGTTCCATCCACGTCATTGCAAATGGCAAGATTTCATTCTTTGATGGCTGTGTAATATTCCATTGTATATATATATATTACCACTCTTCTTTATCCATTCATCTTTGTTATAACTGAAATTTCTCCAAAGAATAGTACCATGTTCCATTGCAATTGCAGTCTAAAGGCATCAGAGACTCTCTCCAAGTAGTCCTGGCCATCTCTGAAGCCCTCCAAATGTGTCAAAGATGTGTGTATATGACTTCTGCTGACCCATAATTACCAATATTCTCATCATAACTTAGAAACAATTCCATTCTTTTCCACTATTATTCTATAAAATACACTGGTTTTTCTAAGTGGGTCTCAAATTTTATTGAACTATGGTTGTATCTTGTTTCAGTGATCTTTTTTTTTTTTTTCAGTTGAAAGAGACAAAGCTTCTGACTTTCAGGTGTGGCTTAATTTCAGCCTAATATGTTATCAGGATCCATCTTTTAACTCAAACAGGCTCTTCCGTGTTTATCATGCCTGAAGATCCCAGTTTCTAATCCAGCAGGGAAGAAAAAGAGTTTCTTCCCCTGAAGTCTCAGTGAAAGAAACATGCTTCTCCTCTGCTCTGAATGGATCCTGTTCCCATCCTTGAGCCAACCCCTGTGGCTAGGTGAATACAATGCACTAATTAGCTTAGGAGTTCCTCACTTTCCTAAAGTGACAAAAAGGAATCAACTTCAAGGGAAGCAGGTGGGCTTAAGTTGCTGAATGGGAAAATTTTTGGAGAGAAATCAGAAAAAGTCACCACAAATCAAGAGATGATGCTGGTAGCAATAGCTTCCTTTATCCTCTCTATACTGTCTGCTGCCCACAGGTGGAATTTAGAGACAACTTCAATTTAGGGACTTCGAATGTTTCATTATGCACTGTGTGTTACACCTTGATCATATTCTCTCTCTCCTTTCTTTGAACTTCTCTACATTATTCTTTTCTTCCATATGTTGCCTTCTGTTTCAGTTATTTATATGTATTTGTCTCCTCACGTAAATCATCAGCTACTTCAAGGCAGGAACCAGGTTTGAATTAACTGTGGATCCTGCCTTGTGCCTTTCACATACTAGACATCCCCACTATTTCAACCAATAATAATTTGTCAAATAAGTGAAGGGATAAGAAATAAGTGGGTCTAATTCATACTATCATTATTTCACTGTAATGTAATGCCTATGGGGGATATGCGTGTAAGGTTTTACTACACACACATAAAAACCTACTGTGTGTCAAGTACCATGGCATAGTAATTAAAAAGTAATTAGAAAACAAACACTGCTCTGCCCTTCAGAAGCTTATATTCTAGTGAAGACAAACACACTGAGTAATTAGGGTGTAATAAATGCTATAAAGGATGATTGTAGGGTGTTAAGAGAGAGTAATAGATTTTAATTTTTATTACTGTTTTTCTGATTGTTTCCAGATCAGCTCTAGGTTCGCTAGCTCAAGGACTACCAGTTTTGATAGAGGTCTGTTAAACTTAGGACTTCTTAGAGGATTAATATTAGATTCCCAAATAAAGTTTCCAGATTCAAGAAATTACACTTATATTGTGCTAAGAAAAGACTAATTTTGTTCTCTTTCTCCCTATCTCTCTCCTAGCCTGAAGTTCTGGATCAAATACAAAATTTAAGGGAGCTGTGGATGGATAATAATGCATTACAAGTGCTACCTGGGGTATGTAAGTTTTTATTATGACATGTTGTCTAACATCTATGTTATATATTAATTGTAATTAATAATAATCTTAATTTATAAATCTCAGTGTTTGCCTTTCAAAGTAAAACATTTGTTTGGTCACCAAGTGTTTTTCACTAGTTTTTTTTTTTTTTTTCGCATACCTTCTGTAAGTGATGCAGGTATATAAAATGTATGAAAGATTTTTCTTGTTCTTTCAGGATTATATTTTTCATCTCTCCACATACTGATTTTTAAAAGCTGAGAAATTTATATTGTTATATATAGGAAAAGAAAATGCTACATACAAAATCCAAGTCTTATTTTTGCAAAATCAAACTAGACAATTGCTTCTGCTCATATTCTTAGAGCTCTTCCACAAAATAAAAATCTTTCTCTCAGTTTGGGTGATTTCCAATAGAATACATTTAAATTTTTGAAAATGGTATGTGACAAATTACAAAGTGTTAAAAATAGAAAGTTAAACTACAGTCCATTTTTTTTCAACTAACAGACAATCCAGTAATATTTCCCAAGTATTAGGTTTACCAGTCAGCTCATTGGGTGTGAACATTCCTGCCTTTCCATTCAGTGAAAGAAAGGCTTCATAGAACACTGCCTCTTGCCACTCATAATACATGCACTCAAATAAGCATGTACATACACACACACATCAACCACAATATTCTTATTGGTGATAACCAATTCCAAACCCCTTACATTGGTCTAAGTAGACAGGGCAGCTGGATTTGTAATAACTCTTCAGCCACTGAGATTTAGATGTGTGTTCCCAAAGCCAGTTTTATTCTTTTTTTTTTGACTTGACATTAAAAATTCCTTAAAATGATTGCAAAAGCAACTAGAACAAGAAGTTTTTCTCTTTTGAACAAGCATGAAACCACACAAAAGAGAAAATCTGGTAAAAGATTAAGGAAAAAAATACTTTCTTCTCTTATCAAAAGAATACATTTATACTGTCATCATAGACACAAAACAAAAAAGCATGCTCATCCTTTATATATTGATTTATTAAAAAACCGTTTACAAATACACATCTATGAACCAGAAACTATGCTAATGTTAGGGTTACAAAGATCATATATTCAATGACCTTGAATATATTTATTTGAGGAGCTCACACATAATAGGAGAGACAGATCTAGATTCCACTACACATAGTAGAGCTTGATTTGTGCCATATTCAAGGTATGTACAGATCTTGGGGCAACACAGGTAAGACACTCATCAATTTCTTGTGCAGGGGTTGAGGATCAGAATGTATGTCTAGTTGGAAAAAATCTATGCCTGCCTCTTTGATATATTTATTAATTCAAAAACACCTAGATAATGACTAGCTCATGATAAATGCTAGGTGTTTTACAAATATTTACTCAATGAATCCTCATAATGAGCCTATGAAGTAGGGTTTATTACCATCCCCATGTTATGGATTAGGAAACTAAAACAGAAGGAGTAAGTAACTGGCCCAAGGTCATGCAGCAGGTAGATAGTGATAATTCATACCAGCACCAGAAGCTGTTGTTCACTATGATGTTCCAAAATGCCACTGCTATAGAATCAACGGAAGGCACAAATGCGAATTACGTTCATCTTACTTTTCATAGCCATTACATTCCCAAAACCCAACCCTGAAAGTCAGCTCAGACCTCAAATTCTTTAGTAAGCTTATTATCTAAATGGAAAAGTAGTGATCAAACTGTCCCTGAAACAGATAATGCTGCCTAATTTGTCTGTTTCAAGAGTAGATTTTTCTTATACACTGCTCTAAGTAGATTTCTCATTTTAGTTAGTACACTTGAGTTTCACATTTTGCTCCATTCCTTGTGGGAATCCCCCCACCTCCTTGCCATAAAGAGGCATGGCTTTCTGAATGTCTATGCCAGCAAATAGTTGCTATGCAAGTACCTAGAAACACATGTCTTTGAAAAGCTAATCTTGAATGCAGCCTTTCACTAGCCCGTGTCTATCGGTTTCATAGAATGATTAATCCTAAATATTTATTGTCACAAGACACTGGAAAAAAAGCAAGTTCATCTTATTCTTAGTTCATGTATTATAAAATACATACATAAAATATATGTATGTATATTTATGTATACGTAAAAATTAATATACTTCTAAAATACTTTTGGAAGCCTGAACTATCATTTTGCTACTCTGTTTTTCATAAATTAGAGAAGCAAGTAGATGATGATGAAAAATTAGTCTTCTACATAGCTGTCTTGTGACGGTCCCTCTAAGATCAATCAATCAAAATGTGACTAAACAATGCATTGAACCTGTATTTATTCTTAAACAGACTTCAATATCTTCTTTTGTTTGTGATGGCTTCCGCTCCTTTCATTTGCTGTCTCCTGCTCACTTATAGACTCCTTTATGTCAAGGGGTGTTGGAGCAAGATTCAATATCCCCAAGGACTCTGAGGCTTTGGACTTCAAAGGCTTTTATCACTCCAGGCTATTATTGCCTTTATAAGGTGTTTGAAAGTGAGGGTTTGGAAAGACTTGAAAATAAACACCAAAGTGTTATTTTGCTTCTAAAAATGATGTTTAGAAATTTTACACCAAAATATTGAGTTGTACTGCAGATAACAATGAAGGAGGCTTCAAAGAGTAAAGACATTTTCTCATGATAAAACAACAAAAAAGAAACATACACACATAAACACATATATCATTCTTTTCTTGCTCACCAGAAGAGAAGAATGAGCCATGGTAACATAATAGCTCCTTAGGGTGGAAATCTATAAGTAAAGTGACAGTATTTTTCCAAGTGACATATTTCCAGGCATGGGGAGAATTCAGCCCTCTGACCTAGTCATCCAAAGTACTCCGTTCCTAGATTAGCAACTATTCATCTACTCCAAGACTTTGCTCACATTCTCTGCCTCCATAGGGAGCGAGGGATCAGGGCTAGAGACATGTGCTAGGTTAATTAGAGAGTTAGAGGTCAGTAACTGACAAGATAATCAACAGGCTTTGTAGTCTATAATCTGAGAAAAGTGAGTTTGAATTTTAGCTCCACCCCTTATTAAGGGGGTAACTTTGGAATGTTACTTGTAGTAGATGCTGCCATGCATCATCCTCCTGGTATGAAGACCTGACTCTATTTCCGAAGCTTCTGGGAATGCTACTTGCAGCTCTCCACCCTCCTCAGGAATTGCTCCAGCTGAAGAGAACCTCCTTACCCAGGGTCACATCCTTATTCCGGGAGACTTCCACCCAATGACCAGTGATAAAGGTCTGGCTCCTCACCCTTCCTCAGGACAACTACAGGGCAATCCCAACTTAGTGAGTCTTGAAGGGCCAGCTGCAGACTTCCTCAAGACTTCATCATAACTCAGCTTCTTCATCTGCCCGGTCGTGCTTCCTTTCTCCCCTCTGTCTTTCACTGGTACTGGTCCTAGGAACACTCTCTCATAAACTTCTCTTTGTCTCTGCTTCCCAGGGAACCCAGTGTGTGCCATTACTTAATTACTAAGTTTTAATGTGTGTTAAAGTGCAGATTCTGATTCAGTAGGTCTGGAGTGGGTCTGAGAGTCTACATTCCTGACAGGCTTCTAGGTGGTGCCAATGCTGCTGGTCTGCAAAACACATTTTGAGTAGCAAGGATATGAAATATTAAATCAAATAATATATATAAACTACTTAGCCCAGTGCAAAGGGTTTGCCTCTGTGTGTAATAAGTTTATTTATTTACACTCTGTCAAATAATTAGAGACAATATATTAAAGTGTACACAGGTAGATTAGACGAACAAATGACCCAGTGAACACGGATATGTGTGGGGCATTTATTTGCGAAACATGCCCTGAAAGAAAATGAAAATGAGGACTTTCATCTTGTTCTGATTCCTGTGGTCCATGTCCCAGCTAAGCAGCCCCTGTTACTCCTGTTCACGGTATGACTTTGTTCCTCCCTGTCCTCAGTAATTAGTTACTCATCTAATTCTCCTACTTCTAAATTTTTCTTGAGCTCATCCCCTCTTCATCCTCATTTCTGCTGCCTTAATTCAGGTCCTTCTCATCTCCTCAGTATTTCCAGATCCTTGTGATGGGTCTCTGCCACTCTCATCACAAATCTTTCTTCCACAGTCCCCTGAAGTTGATATTTTAAAGCACAAATTTGATCATGTCATTCTCCAACTTAAAAACCTTGAACAGCTTTCCTTGCCCATAAGATAGAATTGACATCTCCTCACATAACACATTAAGGCCTTTTAACACCTGGCTTCTTGTAATCGTACAAATCGAATTTCCCACTCTTCCTCAAACATGCCATGATTTTTCACATTTTGCTGTGAACGTATGTGTCGTTTTCTCTTCCAGGTGCAGGTTCTGCTTTTCGTGACAATGTGTGTCTTTCAGACATTTTGCAGCCCTGTGCTTCTATGGCATTCTCCACATGCTTTGTTTTCTTGCACATGTTATTTGGTATTATAACTATTTGTTTATTTGAAAGTTTCCTCCACTACTATGAGCTCCGTAAGGGTAAAGACTTTGTCTGTATCATGACAAGTCTCTCCTCATACTTAGTTGACTTATTCATGATTGTTCTCCCATGTATAACACAAGCCCTGACACATAGTAGATCATCAAAAAGAACTGTTGAATGAACAAAATAGAGAATCTGTTTAAGGATAAAGTCCAAATCGGGTGCCTGGGTGGCTCAGTCGTTAAGCGTCTGCCTTTGGCTCAGGTTATGATCCCAGCGTCCTGGGATCGAGCCCCACGTCGGGCTCCCTGCTCGGCAGGAAGCCTACTTCTCCCTCTCCCACTCCCCCTGCTTGTGTTCCCTCTCTCGCTATCTCTCTCTCTGTTGAAAAATAAAATCTTTAAAAAAAAAAAACCTCTTCAAAAAAAAAAAAGGATAAAGTCCAAATCATGATTTAAAACCTTTCTTATGCATTTGAAATATAAGAATCAGCATGTCAACATATGCTGTTTTGGTGGTGATCTTTATTTATTATTCATTTATTCTTCTGCAGCTTTGAGATTGTTGTGTTGAGATGTAATTCACATACCATAAAATTCACTCATTTAAAATATACAATTCAGTGGCTTTTAGAATACTCCCCACAGTCTAATTTTAGAACATTTCCATTATCTCCAGAAGAAGCCCTGAAGCCAGTAGCAATCACTCCCATGCCCCCTTACCCCCAACCTCCAACAACCCTAACCTACTTTCTGTCTCTATAGATTTGCCTAGTCTGGACATTTCATATACATAGAATCACACAACAGATGGTTTTTTGTAACTGGCATCTTTCACCGCATATGTTTTCAAGGCTCATCCATTTTGTAGCATATATTTGTATTTATTGCAAAATAATATTGCAACATGTGGATATACCACATTTTGTTTATCCATTCATCAATCGATAGGCATTTCGGTTGTTTCCATTTTTTGGCTGTTGTGAATAATACTGCTTTGAACACTTATGTTTTTGTGTAGACATATATTGCATTCTTGAGTATATGCTGAGAGATTGCTGGGTCATATGGAAACTCTTTGTTTAACGTTTTGAGGTACTAGCAAACTTTTTCAAAGTGGCTATACAATTTTAAATCCCTGCTAGCAGTGTATGAGGATTGCAATTTCTCCACATTCTTGCCAATGCTTGTTATTGTTGTAGTTGCTTTTAAAATTAGTTTTACAGTGTTGTGGTTTTTACAACTTTCAATGTCTTGTGAAATTTTCTCAACTAACCCCGAGTTTATGCAATGTTATCAAGTCTATAGGGAAGTTAAAGATGTTGGTATACCTGGATATGTCAAAAAACAGAATAGAAACGGTTGACTTGGACATTTCTGGATGTGAAGCCCTTGAGGACCTCTTACTGTCATCCAATATGTTGCAACAGTTGCCTGACTCTATAGGTGAGAATATTCTATTATGTCATGAATGTTTATATGAAATATATCATTTTCTTTTTTGGCATAGTCCTAGTTTATCAGTAGATATAGGGAATATACTGTTAGTCTGACTGATATTAATAAATTACCAAGTTCATTATTGGTAAAATACTATTTTTACATCTTGAATATCTTAAAATGAAATGGTAATACTAGTTATCAAATTCAAGAAGGCTGTCCTATTAAAATCTTACCAAATTGATATTTTTTTAAATGAAGATCTTTTAAGTTGTAAAATGTTATTGTAAAAATTATATTTATTAGATTTAGAGTAATTGATAACCATGTATATCTCTTTTTATCACCATAGAATTAGCTTCTATCCACAGTGTTGCCATATCCTATTTTCATTACTAACACTACTATAATCTAGAAATAACATAAAGATGTATAATAAATATAAAATCTCTTTGTGGTTCTATTATTAAAAACAAATACATTGTCTTTTATATGCTGTTAAGATTCATGACAGCAGAGAATTTGTCTTTTAGTATATGTCAAGCACCCAATCCATTTTTGTTATAAATTTTTATATGAGTAAAATAACTAAAGTCTCCTTCTAATTTAATAATGAGCAAACCTTTTTGTATAGATATCTTACTATTATTTATGAGAGGACTCAGGAGGGTAATCAGCCAATTATTTAACTTTGGAGATTAGTTTTTAACATGCTTTGAATTCGATGTGTCATATATTCTGGAACTTATTAAAACCTCTGAAAATTAAGTTATAACCTAGGTATACTGACTGAAAGGAAGCTAGAAGATAAGGCAGTATTTCAAATCTTTCTTCAATATTTTATTGTTTCCATTTTCACCATTATTTCAGGCTAATAGGCTAGATTTTATTTCTTTCTAGATTGATAATTTTTTTTTACGTAGCCACATACTTTATAACAATATTTTTCCAACTTATTCCATTGTAAGACTTATCTAAGAGCTTTATGAACACTTACACATTTCCAGGCGCTTTCTCTGAAAATTCTGATTCAGTATGTTGAATCAGTACGTTTGTTCCTTACTGCCTCCTCAGGCCCTCTGATTTGTTTTATTAAGCATAAACATGTATGTTATATGAAACATATAATCAGATAAGTGTAGAAAATACTGTTTTATTTTGTAGAAGGTGAGGAAGTATAATGGTTAAAAAGAGCATCCTTGGATTAAGATGACAGAGATGATCATCTGGTCAAGATAACCCTCAGGATACATGCCTTAAAATCCCACTCAATCACCACTCCATATCTCTTCAAAGACATAATGAAAATAGAAAAATGACTTATATTTGAAAAACATATTTTTGTTCCTTACTGCCTCCTCAGTACCAAGAACTGTGCCTAGTTTATAATAAGGACTCCTTAAATATTTAGCAAATAAAATAATTTAACCATGCTTAAAAAGACTGAACATCTACCTGAACCTAAGCTAGAATGGAAATATTGCAATGACCCCACGCCTGATGGGCTCCAGACCACAAACAGCAGCGGTAGCTGTAAGTTCCATTTCTGCAGTGGAAAAAAGAAAAAAAAAAGGTACCTTAAGCATAACAGGAGAATCCACAGGAGATTGAGGCAGCAACTCCTTTTCTGTGAAGAGAGCCTGAAACAATCTACAACTAGTATGTGGAGCTAGCATTGGAGAGAACAAATATAGATTCACTGCTGAAAAGTGTGCAAGTCACAGCTAGTTTGGACTGGATCTGCACTATCCACATGGGATGAGAGCGCCATGTTGCTAATAGGAGATCTGGTTCTGAACTCCAGAAACCTGGGGTCATGGGTAGGTAACCATAAAACTGCCAGACAGGGATGGGTGAGCATAGATAAGAAGAAAATACTCACCCTCACAAATGAGCATGCAAACAGAAATCTTAAAGGAAAACTAATGTTGTAACAACAACAAAAAACTCAAATAGGAAAATTTATCCAGGAAAAAACAAAGTCATCCAGCAATGTAAAAAATGATTTTTATGTATGTGTAGATCCTCAATTAGACAAAACTTAACAATAACACTCATAAAAATAATAACTTGTAAAACAAAAACAAGAACTATGACTAAGAATAGGTGGTTATAAAAAAAAAAAAGAAACAATTAGAAATCCTGGAAATGAAAATGGCACATAGTGAAATAAAAGACAATATAATTATTTGTTTAAAATATCTTCCTTTAAGAAAGCAGATGGGGAAATTAGCCTTCTGGTCTGGGGAAGACAACATGGATGGGTGATAGAAAACATCAGATTAGGTACTTGGCCGGCATAAAGCTGCCTGGGATAGATAGGAGGGTACTATGTATTTAACACCTTCATTAAGAATCTGAATGGCTTTCAAATTAGGAAAGTAACTTTGTTATAGCAGCTTACTCCTTCTCAGACTATATCTTTGGACCCTGTTGATCTTTCAGAGAAAATTACATTTATGCATCTGCAGAGTTGCCAGAGTCCCTGATTATACATGTGGAATGGCTGACTTTGCTCCAAATATTCCCCTCTTGGTCAAGAGAAGGATCTGGGACAGGAGACTGAGAGCTTTATTCTAAAGCCCTAAAAGAATTCATTGATTCTGATTGGATGGGAAATTGTATCTTATCTTCTTTATTGGGACATCATTGGACTACCAACATTTAAAAGAACAACCCTTTGGCTTTAGTCCCTAACATGCCTCAAGACTTTTTACCACTGCTTTCAGACTTTGGTACTGTGATTCTCTTAAAGGCTACCTTTCAACCTGGCTTCATGGTGTTTGCACAGCAATCTGTGACCCAGTGCAAAACTTCTTTGCCCCACTCAAGTGACACTGAGACTGTCAACCCTCCTCTAGCTCCACTGGTAGGCAGGTGCAGTAGTTTGATAAGGGCTACCAAGTCATACAAAATCTAGCTGTAATGCATCACGCCCTGTTTTCTTTTCACAGCTGATGAACAAGCTCTTTTATATTTCCAAGGTTGCTATTTCTTACATACACACCAGAGAAGCTGAAGTGATTCAGTCACCCCTTAAACATAGGTGAATATGGCAGTGGGTGAGGAAACCTCAGAGATAAATGACCCCGGTGAGAACGGTCCTCTTTCCCAGGTGCTACTCTTTTCAGCAGGATATCCTCGGGGCACAAGCTGATGTATTAAAGCTCCAATATTTTGTAGATATTTTCTTACAGCAGTCTGACAGTGAGACCCTTTCTCGCCACTAGAGTAGAGATTCTGAGCGCTTCTCCAGAATATGTAACTGAGCATACTGAAATTTAAAGTGCAATAATCGCTTTTTATTTCAGATCTATTCTGATTTACTCTATGCCTTTAAGGAGTCCTCAGAATACTTCAGGTGCGTGGGCATGACCCACAGCAGTGCTTCCCAAAGCATATTCACAAAACTCTAGCTGTACAAGGTACGCTGCACACTCACACACATTCCACAAGAACTTTGCAGAGTCACGTTGCTACATTAATATATTACAAGGTCCTAGAAAAACTTCATTAATGAAATATGTTTAATGTTGTTTAATTTAGCATTTCCCAAACACATTTGGCCATGGAACCCACTATATCCATGAGAACAAGTTTTCTGCAAAAAAAAAAAATGTACCCTACAGTATATATGCATATTTCCAATGTAAAACCAAAATTAACCACGCTTTGCCCTTGGACTTTGGCTATTTAAGCCATACTGATACTACATTGTGGCTGGATAAAGGAATCGGTTCTTCAATCACTCTGTGGTTATTACTCATTAAAACCCTGGGAATAATGCAGGCAGTAACGGTATGGAAGGTGTAAATCTGACAGGGAAATATAAAAAGTTGAAACTATTCTTGGCCAGTTCTACTCGGTATATTAAAATTGCAAGTTTTTGTGCTTTCTGTTGATCCAAGTCAAGGATTTATGGTAACAAAAAAGAGTATGAGGTCATATGTTGTAATTTTTCAAGTCCATAATTATAACCACTGCACCACAATACCTCAGTACCCATTCATTGATTATTAGGCTTACTTCAGATTTGGTTTTTTTTGTTTGTTTTTTTTTTACCTTTTTAAAATTTTATTATGTTATGTTAATCATGTGCTTAGGAGTTAATTAAATATTAAATCATAGCTGGCTTAAAAATTTTCATCTGGTCCATTTGAGGTATACTAGATAAGGGAAATGTGGTAGTGTTGCTGTCAACTTAGCTTTCTATGGAGCCCTATGTTTTGTTTATTTGTCTGTGTTGATGTACCCAAACTCCCACTGATGCAAGTGAAGTTTTTACAACTGGACAGTCAAGACTAGACTGCATACAAACATATTTGTAGGTTTATATAAGCAGAGTGTAGCCAATTGGCATGACAGTCGTCACAAGTGATTCTTTTTCTTTCATATTGTATTTCCTACCAGAGATCTGTTCTTATGTATTAATAAACCTTCTTCTCTGTTTTAGGACTGTTGAAAAAACTAACTACTCTAAAAGTAGATGACAATCAACTTACAATGCTACCCAACACAATCGGAAAGTAAGTGCCAAAGTTTCATACCTGTCAGCCCCTCTGAGCCAGAAACAAAAGGATATGTTGAATTTTTTTACTTCAAAACATTTTCTATCTTAATTTAGTTTTATATCTGAACATTGCATTGACACACTATATAATATCATGTGAAATAACTATGATTCTTTCATAAGCAACTGCATAGCAGCTTGAAATTCACTTGAATGTGTCTTATGAAATCAAACCAATTTGTATAAAGCTCTGTAGTTTGTAAATGTTACCATTACACTCTAAGTGATTTGTACATTATTTTTAGTAATTGTTATTTATAGTAGCAGTACTATATAATAGTACTATAAATGTTATTTATAAAAACAAAATTATTTGCCTTTGAAAGTATGAAAAAGATTCATCAAAGATAAATGGGCCTATTCAGTTCAAGGTTGATTACTGGTTTACAGGGATAAATGTTAAGAATCTTATCATAAAAGCTCATTTTCTTTTATATATATTTAAGTGCCATTATCTTCCTTTGATTATTGTTTCAGAGAAAATAAAAAGGAAGTGTTAGAGGAATGAACTAAAACAAAAGAAAACAAAAAACAAAAAAACTGGTGAAAAAACTAAGAAACAGAAAGAAGCCAATGGGAAGTGTATGGGAAATCTCTATACCTTCTTCTCAATTTTGCTGTGAACCTAAGACAGCTCTAAAAAAAATAGTCTTTAAGAAAAAGATGACTGACAAACTGGTTATTTAAACTTGGGTTTTGGGCAGACATTTTGTCAAAAATGAACAAAGTGAGCTTATCACTTCAAGGAAAACAACTAACAGTATTTGTTGCTGACAGTAAAATTTGAGCTCTCAAGCAAAAATGTGAATTTTGGAAAATTCCTATATGCCACTGTGAGCTTGACAACTTCCCAATCCTTCCAGGCTTTTCTGATAAGACTAGTGTGATATAAATTAATGTAATTTGTTGATAATATGTTATGAAATGTATCAACATCTGGAAAATCTGTATAACTCAGTGAAGCAGTATATCCAAATGACCAATGCATGAATTACAAAATCAGACATGGGTATAAGACCCATTCAGAATGCAAAATAGACCAGTTTATTTTAATGTATTGGTATGAAGAATAAGAAAAGTTCATTGATACAATTTCAGACTCTACATTGCAGTTATCCCCTAAAAAATGCCACTTGTTGAGTTTTGGTGTAGTATCAAAGAAAAATCACAACGATCCAAAAGGACTATTGAAATATTCCTCTCTTTTCCAACAACATATCTATGTGAGGCTGGATATATATAATTGTTGTTATATATATAATTGTTATATATAATTCAGTCAGAACAATACATCACAACAGATTGAATGCACAAGCAGATATGAGATCCAGTACCATCTATTAAGCCAAATATTGAAGAGATTTGCAAAAATAAAAACAATGTCACTTTTTTCACTAAATGTTTTTGTTTAGAAAAATATAGTTACTTTGAATACAAATGTTATTTAACATGTTATAGGTTTACTATTATTATTTAACAGTTGGTAATTATTTTTAAAACTCCTATTTTCATCTATAATATAAAAGATACCAATAGATATATAAACGCATATTATAACATATATACACAATATAAACACATGTTCTTTAGAGTTACCGATGATTTTTAAGAGTTTCAACAGTCCTAAGACCAACAAGTTTGAAGATATCTGTTCTATATCACACCATGTTTTTTTTAAAGATTTTATTTATTTATTTGAGAGAGAGAGAATGAGATAGAGAGAGAGAGCATGAGAGTGTCAGAGGGAGAAGCAGACTCCCTGCTGAGCAGGGAGCCCAATGCGGGACTCGATCCCGGGACTCCAGGATCATGACCTGAGTCGAAGGCAGTTGCTTAACCAACTGAGCCACCCAGGCACCCCTCATATCATGTTTTGTACAATAAAATTACAAGAACCATTGTCTAACTTATGTTCTCACTTCAAGAGAGCACCTGCATACAAATGTTTTGAATTTGCATGTATGGCAAAAAATAAACTAAATATCTAAAATTTTATAATATACCATAATAAGCAATCTATATGAGGTAAAAATAACAATAACAATAACAATGATAGCTTTGTTTTTCTTAGGGAATTCAGAATTGATAGATCAGAGGTTTAGTGCAAGGCCTAGAGGTGAAATTTGATTATGATCTTACTTAATGGCACCCTAGGGCACATGCAAAAAGTGTTTTGTAAACAGGAGAATAGTCTGCATTTATTAGGAAACATGCTACCTAGAACTCTGGACACCAAAATCCTAGAAATGTTAAGACCAGCTGTAGTGATAGTCTCATTCTGCACTTAGAATATTTCAGTATGTTAGAATTTTCTTAGATCATTTTTAGTAATCCAACTATTAAAAACTGCTAGAAGACTTAATTTTTGAACATTTTTCACAGTTCAAATGGATTCCATGACTTTCGTGTGAAATGATTTGTAAAATTGATTATTTTTGTTCTCAGACCTTAATTTGTACCTAGAATTTCTAGCCACTCTGCAAATTGAATGTACAATGAAAAATAATAATAAATAACTTTTTTTTCCCCGCATTCTGCCAAATACGTTTGGTGCTTTACACACATTCCTGTTGAGTTAAAGCCCCAATAAACAGTATTCTATGTGTATTATTATCTCCCTCTCCCCATCAACAGTTACAGAGACTGAGTCTGAGAGAAGTCAACAGATTTCAAGGCTAAGCTGTTAATTGACCTATGATGCCTCTTAATATATATGATAGTTGAGTCACACATTTTGTAATATTTGGTAATTTAATGGGTCCCACTGCTATAGAGGCAAAGGATCTTCCAGAGGAAGAGAAACTGCATACTAAACCTTCTCTTTCTTAACTTCATATCCTTGGTCAAAAGCAATAAAAACTCAAAAATCTGAATGGAAATTTTTAAAAGTCATTCCCTCATGGAGTATGGTCAAACAAAAAGACTGTTGGACTGGGAATCAGGAAATTTAAGTAACTAAGTAAAGCTGGGTAAGCCCCTTCTTCTCATTGGGCCTCAAATTCCTGAGGGATAGTGCAAGGAGCACTGGCTTTGGAGTCGAACAACATGGGTGTGAACCATGGCTATGTCACTCACTGTGTGTTATCAAACCTCTCTGTTGGCTTAGTTTCCTCATTTATATTATCTACCTACATTTAAAATTCCTTAGTTCTTTGATCCAGATGTTTAGCCTATATGATGTCAATACCCTAGATGGCAAATTCCAGTAGTCTACTTGCTAGACTGTCATAACAAGAAAATACGTGAAGTTTATTCTAGGTACCCGAATGCTAAAAAACATTTTTCCCTCTGTTTCCTAATCATGGAAGGATACATAAGAAACTAGAAATGTACACGGCTTTAGGGAGGGGAATGTGGGAGCTGGTGAATAGAATAAACAGGGAGACTTGCTTTTATCATATACTCTCTGTAATTTTTGAATTTTTTATTATGTAATGTTACACTAGTCAAAAGATTAAAGACAAAACACGGACACACATAGACACACAGACACAACCACACATGTGTGTGCTCATGCGTGCACACACACACACACACCTTTCAGTAGATAAAACCCAAATTCCTTTACACAACATTCAAGTTTTTCCATTGTCTCATCTAAACCAGTGGTTCTCAGCATGTGGTTGTCTGACCAGCAGCATCAGCTTCAACTGGGAACTTATTGGCAATGCACATTCTGAGACAACCCTGATCTACTGAATGAGAGACAACCCCGAACGACTGAATGAGAAACTTTGGGCATTGGGCTGGTAATCTCTGTGTAAACAAGCCCTTGAGGGGATTCTGATGCATGCTAAAGTTTGAGAACAACTATCTAGATTCAGCTTTCAGCTCTCAGCTACCTTCTCAAACCCTAAACTATTGTGCCTATATCAGAATTACCTGAAATGCTGCTTTAGAGAGGAAGTTTAAAATGAAGCTGCTTTAGAGAGGAAGTTTACCATAGTGGTTGGTTACTTTGGCTCTGGAGCCAGACCTTCTGGGTTCAAACTCTGGCTCTTTGATTTGCTATTGGGTCACAGAGCCTTAGATCCCTCCTCATAAAATGGAAATCATAATAATAATGCCTACCTCATAAGAATGTGTGAAGATTAAATGTATTAATAAATAGAAAGTGCTACATATTCAATAAGTATTTTCAAAAAATAGTTTGATAAAGTAAAAAAAATTATTGACTTAGTTAATTTGCATTTCTGGGATTTGGATTCAAGACATATATTTACTATTTTTACAACTTAATTCTCTCTTTTCTCTTCTGCCCACCCAGACCACTGCAGCTTCCTCCTCTAAATTAAAAGTCATAGTACACCTACAAACTAGACCAGCATTTTCTGAATTATATTTCTCAAAACAATTATCACTTGGAATTTTAATAAGTATGATGCAAAGATAAGTTTCATGGACAAATAAGTTTTGGGAACTTTGTATACAAGTTAGAGAACATTCTAACTTGTGATATTTTTCCATTTCTCCCATCAGTTTCTTATTTATCTTTTGTATCATCATTTAACTTGTCCATTGTTTTGCCTTGTCTTACCAACTAGAATATAGGCTCCTTAAGTCTGGGATCATGTCTTGAGTATGTTTAATCTCCTTCATTGTGTGTACCTGAGCAGTATGGCAGAGGGGAATGTTTGCAAGCTTGGAACTAGACAGATTTCAATCCTGGCTTCTCCACTCCTTAATTAATGAACCGTGAACATGTCACTTCACATCTCAGAATTGCAGTTTTCTCATCTGAAAAATGGAAAAAATAATTCATCTCAGAGGTTGTTGTGAGACTTAGTGGTGGATAGCTTTCAATAAATTATAATAGTCATGAATAGTAATAATTAAAAAGACATTTATTTATTTATTGTTGTTTATGTTCATTTGTGTGAGGATTAGTAATATAACATGAATAAACATCCAGTGTTTAAAAAGAAAAATGTTTTATATTGATTTTCAAATATAATA